TACAACAATGATATTCATAATTTTGTTTTTATTTTTATTTCAGATCATCATGGGAATATTGCAGCGTTGGAAGTGCTGTGAATAGTGTTTGTGAAGTGTTGCAAGTGTTCGTGCATTGCAATCGTGCGCGAAGCAATATACGGGAGTGTTTGATCCGTTTAAATAAAATTAAAAACACGGATTAGAAGCACGTTCGTTCGTTAATTTCAATTACGTCGTGTTCGTGAACTATTTTTGATATTTATTTATTAAATTAACTACGACCAATGCAGTGTAATTGCATTAGAGTTTGTTCGACTAAAGTTTTATTTTTATCTTTAAACAGTCGCACAGACTGTTCGCGTATTAGAGTCAGTGCATCAATGAAGATTTAAAATTTAACGCGTTTCGGGATTAAAATAAAGTGTGAAATTTGTTTGTTTCAATAGACTGTGTGCAAAGCAGTCTTTGGATGCAGTTGTAGAGTCAGTGATCGGGCGCATAATAAATTAAAATCATCCGCGAATTAGAAGCAGTGTTGCTCGGCGTATAATTAAATGTCGGTTTCGCGATAAGAAACTCATCTATAGTTTCTTATTTTCGTTTATACCGTGTCATTAGATTCACGCGAGGTGCACCGCCATGGTGCAATTGAGCTTCATCTCATTGGAATGCATTGTAAGTATTCATTTTTATTAACATATAAGTCTCAAAGAGAATTATAGACGGTTATTAAATCTTATGAACAATTTATTTTGAACTAGTTGTACGTTTCGTCCCTTACTGGGGACAACGGACTTTCTAACTAATCAAAGATGTGGGATGAATTCTTCGATGGATCATCGATGGATCTTCGATGGATCTTCGATGGATCTTCGATGGATCTTCGATGGATCTTCGATGAATCTTCGATGGATCGTCCATAGAAATTCTTCAATACTTGCTGCAAAGTAGGAGTGTTTTGGAGCCATCGTAGAACTTCTWRYGBAGTGAGTMMAAAWATTTAAAGTYCCTCCAGTGCTCAATCATGTCGAGGATGAAAGGTCCTAATCGGCACGAGTTACTGGTTGTAATTATTTCAATAAATTAATGACGAGCACATGAGTAATTCCTTTCTAGGAGTTACTCATGAAAATTGTATATTTGCATTGTGTATATTGTATTGTATATTTTATATTAGTTCAGGATAGGTTTTCTTGTCTCATCGGTTAAATTCAACTAATAAATAATGCAATTAATTATTGCACTTTGTTTTTTATTACGTGTTTTGTTCGTGGTTAGTAGTRGTGAAACCGAGCATTAATTTACTCGTTTTCGTCCAGAAAAGCATGTATTAAATGTCTTACATGCATTGCTTCGTACTTAGTTTATTTAATCACGATTTTATTTTTCGATATAATAAAAAAATGAGCGAGAAGACAAACTTATTCGCGACGGATAGACTCTGGCAATTAAGTGGTGACTCAAAGCCCAGTTCTTTAATTAGAACAGCCAACTTAATCAAAGGAGTCGTCCGAGATCTTTTTTAATTTTTTTAAATTTTTAAAATCTTTTTTTGAAAGTCATTATAAATGACTTGTAGAGTCATAGCCCGCTTAGATTTATAAGAGAACATTTTTATATAATAATCAACATTTAGATTAGGATTTTCAGCATCTAATTTACTAATCCCCGTTTCTCCCCCCTATACTTTCTGCGTTCTCATTTATACGTGTGCCCAGGTGTTACACGTGTGGGTGAGAAACGGTTGGTATGGGTTTAGTTTTAAGTTTTTTCCCCCCTATTGGCGGCTGTCATTGTGCTAGTGATTGCACGGTGTACATTGCACTTGTGTGTGCGTTAGGTGTATGCATTGTACATCGTTTCGCGATACGTAATACCACACTCATTATTTTTTAAAGTTATTGAATAAAAATAACTTGTAGAGTCACGCATACGATACGAATTTTTTTTTTTTTTTAACAATCGTTTTGCATAGTAGAGTTTACCGCATTTATTTGTGGAAACTATAATATACTCGTATATAACTAGTATGTATATATACTAGTTTATACTTGTATTTTTGCATTAGTCATTTATGCAATAATCACTAGCCTTAGCAGACGATTACAGCAATTGGTACGTACTCCCAAAAATTTAGAAAACGCGTTTGAACTGGGGTGTCGGAGGTGCCCCGGGGCATGCTCTCTAGTTTAGGCTTTTGCACCCTGGTTGTATGTGAGAGAATCGTGGAGTGAGTGGGTGGGTATGTATGTATGTGTGATCTTTTTAAATATTGCCAATATACAGGCAGGTAGCATACTTAGGTGTGAATGTTTATTTAATTTGTAAGTAGGTAGAGATCGGAGAAATCGCACGATTGTAATTTCCACTCAGGAGTGGAATATTTCTTCTCCGAATATTATACAAAGTTTCAGCAACCTTTAGATTCATTTATCATTTAAATATTTCTTGTATTTTTTCCATATATTGCTGATACTCTGTACCGCGAGATATAAATCAGTATCGAACGATTCAAAAGTCTTTGCGTTTTCTTAAAAATTAATTTTTTTCGAAAAAGTGAGGATAGCTGAATACGTTGGATACTTACTTAATATTAAGTATATTAACGCTTTGCTCTTTAGTAATTCCTACTGAAAATACTTCATTTGTTATATATGTATAGTAAATACAAAGTAGAATAAAGATAAAAGATAAAAGTGGTCGAGTAAAAAAGTAAGATCATAAGATGTATTATAAAGTTTTTGCTTTTGTTTGATATTATTTAATTTTTTAAATGCAAAGTGTTAATAATAGGTTCATCGATTAGATCAAATATCTGTTGAGGCATTCGAGTAAATGTTAAAAAAAGCCTCACAGCAGCGTTTAGGGCATGAAGAAAGAAGAGGCTAAATGCCGAAGAGGCTAATGCCGAAGAGGCCCCCACAAATTTGTGGTATCAAGTGGGCAACTAATAGACTATTCAGTTATTTTCAAAGGTTCAACAGCAAGTTCGAACTTTTCGAGAATAGCTCTCTAGTCATATTTTATATTTTATTAATTTTTTGCTCGTCATTAATTTGTAGTTGTAATTGGAGATGATGGACCATTCCATCTCCTTGGGACACCAAATTCGTGTCTATATCGTCCTAAAGATGCATATGTGTTAGTTAGAGTCAAAAATATTAAAATTTTCGTAATATTCAATTTTGAAGCTTAAATAACGTTCGGTAAATATTAAAGTAATTTCTTTTTTCTAGTTTTGTCTTTAAAATTTTTCATTTTGATCGTATTTTATTAAATTTGCAATTTTTCTTTTCTATATAATGCAGCTTAAAAGTATTTCATAATAATTAATAGATATTATTTTTTGTAATAATTTAATATTTGTACTTTTCCTATTTCTTTATTTTTAGATATTTTATGTAAATGTAAAATCACGCGTTTACATTTATTTTCATTGCAACGGTAAATAAAGATTTGATCTAAAGTAAATATAGAATTCAATTGAAAAGTGCATCTGCGAATTAGACGATTTATATGTCAGGCTATTCTATCACTTGATTTTATGATTAACATAGTTTGCTTTTTGTTACAGGTGATCATCGTTGGATTTATCATCTACTCGTTTTGATTTTCTTCTACTTTTTAAAATATATATGTATAAAAAACGCATTTCTGAAGGCACACACGTATTAAGACACTAAAAATTAAATATAATTATTTTAAATTTTCTTACAATATAACGTCATTACGTTAAGTACATACTATCGTCCAATGTTGGTCCTAGTGGTAACTACTGGATAGATAAAAAAAAGGGGACAAATTTGACATTTCTTTATCTACAGAAATCTCTATACACTTTTTTTAATCAATTTTTTGAATGAAGCGATATTATAGGAGTTGAATATTTATGAAATGACGATCAATTTCATTATTAATTTAATTACCAAACTTATAAACTTCTCCAAATTTTGTTCTTAACGGGGAAGTAAATCGAATTTTTATTCTTTCATCGGTTTTTATTCGCGACCGTTATTTAATACTCTAACATCATCTAATATTAATTTTTTAAAATGTACTATTTTTCTGTATTCTATTGAATTATCTTATTTGCTGAATACTATGCATCTTTAACATTGATTTTTATCCCTGGAAAGATATTTTTAACGATTCGTTTCTAATAATTGTAATATGTAATCTTGAAACGCAATTTTTCGCGAGTCTGTAGTATTTTTCTGTAGTAATGTGCTTTATTCATTATAATAAATTGCACATCGCGTTATTTAACAATATCAGTATGTTACTTGTTATTACAGAGAAGCATTTAATTTTGTGTCGTTGTTGTTGCTGTCGTCGTCGTCGTTTACTTTGTAAGTGTTCATCTTACCTTAAAGAG